GGCTGCTGCTGCTGCGGAGCGGCGGGCGGCGGCTGCTGCTGCTGCTGGCGCTGCGGACGCCGGGAACGCCGGGAATTCAAAAAGCCTCTTCTGCGCCGAGGCCCTTCGCGCGCGTCTTTCGCCAACTGCCGCCCGCGAGCCCGCCGCGGAGCGCCGCGGCTGCTGCCATGACCAGCGCCGACGCCCGCAGCCAGGGAGGGAGCAGGCAGCCCCGCCAGCAGCAAGCCCGATCCCCAGCTTTCCAGCCCTTTCTGCACTCCTTGCTGCTTCCTTGACCAAATAATGCACGAAAAACCCCCGAAAAAACACCCAGAAAGCCCCGACGCCCCAGTTTCCACGCCCGCCCCGCGGTGTCTAGGCAGCTTGCTGCTCGGGGCACCACCGCCAGCTCCGCCGCCCGCACGCAGACGCCCAACTCCCAACCCCTGCTCGCGAGAAAACGCTTTCCAAACGTTAATTTCACCCACTTTCCGCAATTCGCAAAGGATCCGCCCAAATCCCCCGCAAAAAACCCCGGATCTCAGCCCCAGCTCCCCTCTTGCACCGCCACCGCAACCCCCCAGATCCGCCCGCTACTTGCCCGCCTTTTCGTGAAGCTTCCCTTTCTTTGACTTTTTAACTCCAAAGCTACGCCAAATCCACCCGTTCCAAACTCAAGACTTCCCAGATCGCCAACCTGCGCGCCACACAGACTAGCTGCTGCTGCTCCCGCTGCCGCTGCTGCTCCTGCTCCCGCTGCTGCTCCTGCTGCTGAATTTCCCCCATTTTCAGCTCCGCAATTGCCCTTTTTACCCCTTTTTCAAAGTTTTACATATCTTCCCCCCCTCTTTGGAGTCAATTGCGGTGCAGATTTCGCGCTGCCCCACCGCCGTCGATGAATGCACCCCCAGTGTATGCACACTCGTGCGCATCTTGCGCCGCACACACCCTCTCCAGCACTTCACTTTTGCTCGCTTTGCTCTAATTCAATTAATGCCAATTGAGTTTCGATCTGCAAAAAACAGAAAGTCTGCAAACGCGGCAGAGTCGGCCGGCTCTCCAGACACTGAAAGCCAGGATTGCACAGGAGGGAACGCAACCCCCCGCGGGAGTGAAAGTACAAAAAGTGAACACTTGAAACTGAAATAATGCTCTTAATTCTCATAATAATCCCTAGAAAAGTGCGTCTAATCAGGATATTTATGATTTTAAAAGAGATCACCGACTTTATTTGAACTCTTGCATTCAAAAATCGAAACCAGAAGTCCATTTCGAGGTGTTTGCACGGAAAACCGTCCAAAAATAATTAAACTTCAAATCAAAATCAACTCCAAACATGAAATTCAAAATAAGCAGGGGCCCCATATGTGGCAGTTGTTGCTGTCTACAGATAAAATGAACTTAATTTTAAAAACGAAAATGTAATTTAAACAAAACACAAAAGGAAATATTTAATCTTGACAATAATGCCAGTAATGCCAGCAGCAAAATGGCCAAGGCCATTTGGCAAAAGCAAAAGTTGCAAAAAGTCCAAAAGTGTAATTGCTGCACTTTTGGCAATTATGAAAATGAATAAAAAAAGAAATATTAATTAATTATAATTTTATTAGCAGCAAAAGTGTATTTAGTTTTGAAATCCAAAAATGGCATTTTCAGAAAAGTAAAAAGGAAAGATGTGCTGCTAATGGCATTCATGGCAGCCGCGGCGAAAATGAAAACAGCAAAAACAAAAACAAATCAATTGGCACAGCAACAGCAGCAACAGCAGCAACAGCTGCAGCAGCAGCTGCAGCAGCTGCAGCAGTAGCAGCAATGCAAAAAAGAAAAAGGTCCAAAAAAACAGGAGTCCCACAAGGAATGCCAGCAGCCAGAACAGCAGCGCTAAAAAGCCATTCAAAAAGTTAAAAAGATAATTTAAGACATTCATCCTTTTATTTCTTTTCTGGTTTTTTACACATTTCGGGAATTTTGAAATATTGAATTGAACAAAATTCCAAAAAGAAGAAAAAAAGAAAACAAAAAGGAAAGTTTGAATTTCCAATAATGAACTTTTCATAAAGTTAATTTCCCAGAAGATGCGATTCAAAAAGTATTTGGGA